CCCCCCGCGCCCCGCCGGCTGACCCATCGGCGGATAATAGTACGGCACACCACTCGCCGTCGGCGTCACCACCCCGCCGAGCGCGGCCTCGTCCTTGATCTCGTCCCGGGGAACGATATCGACGAGGAAATCGAAGATTTCGGTTCTGGTGATCGCGGCGGCGATGTCGTTCTTCTGGAGAGTGCGACGCTTGTTCTCTTCGGCGTGGAGCCAAGATCGGATCGTGAGTTCGAGGATGAAGAGCTCGCAGGCCTTGGCGAAGAGGATCGGAGCCTCGGCGGAGATCATGCGGACATCTTCGTCGGCCTTCATGATCTTCTTGATCCGAGCGAGAGGAAGCTGATGGTTTTTGAAATCGTTGACATGCTCGATTTCCTGACGCTGGAACGACCAGAACATCTGGAGCTGCTCCTGCTGGTGCTGCTGGTGGTGGAGGAGGTGGTGGTAAGGGATTTCTCCGGCGCCGGAGACGGGATGGGAAGGGACGACCGCCGCGGAAGGAGGCGGCGGAGGGAAGGAGGAGGAAGGAGGTTGCTGGTTCTCCATTTTCCGTCGAAGGGTTTGATGATTCTTTGGTGGTTTGGATTTGGATCTGTGAAGTTCTGTTCAAGAGATTGGATATTGTGATTTGTGAATAGGTTAATGTGGAGAGCAATGTACGTGATTTTTTCTCCCTTATTTATTTATTTTAATATTCCGTAAATTTATATTCAAAAACCGTAATGTACTGTCATTCCTTTTTTTTTGGAGTAAATAGATTCACATTTTTTTAAAAAAAAACCTCACATACCCTTTTTTTTAATCATAATTTACACCACACCATTCTTGTGTTTGTGGGCTTTTTTGCATTAAAATTTATATCATTAACTATCAAACTATATCTATCCCTCAACAAAATAAAATTATTTTTTGGGAATCAAACTAAGAAAACTGAAAAAAATTCTCTTCAAAATGATCTATCAAAATACGTTTTTAATTCAACGGCTAGATGGGTACTCTGTATTTGGGAGAGAGAACATTAACCTGTTTGTTTCCCGACAAAACATTTTCTACTGCGATTTGTTCTGTTCTGTCTGTTTGTTTTTCAGTTTCCATATCTTTTCAAGAAGGCCATAACGCCGAGCCCAGCTACTAACGCTGCACCAGCGGCCACCGCGCTGTAGGCCGCAGCCCACGCATCCGGCTGCTCGTAATAATCTACCGATTCTTCTAATCCCGATGCTCTTCTTCTTCTTCGAATGCCGTTTTTCGGATAATCCAAATGCAATCTCAAGCCCTGCAAAATGATCCAAAAACGCATTTTCCCATCTGTTCAATGATCCACAAAAATCAATGTATATGCAGACAGACAGAATGAGAGTGATTGCTCTGTTACGAGAGTTCCTCTTTCAATTTGATGTCATAATCTAAGGAGTAAGGACCCGTATGCCGAAGCAGTATATCGGAAGGTAAAATCTCTTCGGGTAATGCATCAGTGACTACGGACCAGAAAAAGGGTTTTCCCGTTTTTGGCTTTTTAAGAAAGAATCTTCACAGTTTTGAGAGCTTCACAACTCTCAGCCTTAACGGAGCTTAATACTTGAGACCATTTTATACATAAGCCGGAAGAAACAAAGATGATAACATAACGTACCTTCCACCCGATCGATCTTGCATGGTCTATGGCTGCAAGAAGATCGCTATCCGATGCTAACAAGACTTTGTCATGGTCTTCATCTTCATACTGCCCCATTTATCACCAAAATGAACCATCATGTAATTAAAAAGAATCAGCTGTACAGTTCTCTGAATCCCACGACAATGAAAACATCTGCATAATTCTCTTGGAAAGTATTTTTAAGTACCAAAATTTGAGGCAAGTTATCCGGGTCAATGTCATCCCCTACCCTCTGAAGAATCGCAGTTATCACATCAGTCAAACTCTGGGTGTCTGTGTTTGGAAGAAACCCGCATTTCACACACTCAATACACAGAACAAAGTTAATCAACTCTTAACAAAGGAAAGCAGACACGAGTACCAGTTATGAATCTGTGCATTCTGCCCTTCTTGTCTTCGATCTTGAATGAAAATGTATTCGAGAAAGGGAAAGATTTGCCTGTGTCAGCTTCAGAAGCAATTTTCAACGACCCCTCACTGAAATGGTACCACGAGGTACAGATCAACAAACAAAAAGTTCATGAGTGAAACTAAATTATAGCGGTTAAGTGGATATAACCTCCTAGAGTCATCATCGTCATCATTTGGAGACAATGCCATCGCTGAATCCCAAAACTTTTGCATCATCGAGTTTGTCGCCTCATTAGTTATTGCTGCAGTGCTTCCAGCCTGGCAATGAAATGTGAACAGTGAATTTGAGATCAATCAAAAGACTGTCAGCAACTCTCGATTATGCAAAGCAAAAAGCGAGTAGGAGACAGAGCTGTTGAAGGAGAAAATGCAACATGAGTGCCGCATCACAAAAGTTAACCGAGATACAGTATTATGCAAAATTTTCTCAGTCAGCACAATAATGAAGCTTAAATCATTTGATAGTCACTGAAATCATATTATACTTCCCACACCAACCAACCCACCCCTCAAACCATAACACTAGCCTATGTGTACACATGGAGCAAATATTATACTTGGAAATGTAAGTTTCTATGAGTATATTATGTGAGCAGAACCATTTGAGTCCAAGAAATAGAACTTACCATGGCAACAGCAGCATGAGTAATATGGATTACATCAACAACAGCAGCCACTTCCCCTTCTGCAATAAAAAAAAGACCTTCATATTTACGCATGTTTGCATTTAGCTTTCAGAAGACTATCTTCAATTGTGCAAGAAATCACCTTTGTCAAGTATGGGAAGGTGCAAGAACTTTCCATCATGCATGATGTGCAGAGCATCAACAATTGGCGTGTCAACTGTTGCACATTCTGGGTTCGGAGTCATAATCTGTGCACAATGGATTAGATAAACAAGTAAACTCAGAAATCAAAACAGCAGACTCTGTCATTAGAGAAATATGATGCTGAACAAAGCATGTAGCTATCTATTTTGTACAGATCATGATACATAAGCCTAGCCATGCGTTGGAGCAGCAAATGGGTTGTCTGAATGAAATCATAAAAGCTGAATACATCCAGAATGCAGTGTAGAGGAACAACAACAACAACAACAACAACAACATCGCCTTAATCCCAAGTTTATTTGGGGTCGGCCGCATGAATTTTTCTTTTCCATTCATTTCGGTTTTGCGTCATATCTTCCGATATTTGCAACATATCCAAGTCATTTCTAATGACTCATTTCCAAGTAAGTCTAGGCCTACCAAACCTAATAATGGTGTCAGTCCTAATTCTTCTAGACTTGAAGAATATAGGAAACTGGGAATGTAGAAAGCTTAATGAAATAAGCTAGAAATCAGTGATTAAACATTGGAAAATCTTACAAATTTATTATAGTCTCTTTTCATCTTACATCATATCCCTATATACATGTTAAAAGTTTCGATGTAAAAGTACCTTCCCCACTGTTGTCTCAGCTGGAGGGAGGTTTTCGGCCACAACCTGCATCAATATATCCTTTGAACTAGACAAATGGAAAATCAAATTAATAGATTTCAGTTATAAAATCTCAAAGTTAATAGAAGCAATTAGACTGAGAATGATATGAGACCTAAAAAGAGAACTATAGCATAGAGGTGACCAGTTTCCAAATTCGTTCAAAACGAGACTCACGTTACAATCCCTTGAATCTTGTCCTCTGCCATCACAACTGCACTGCTCACTCGGAATTCAAGCATTTTCTGTGCCACTGTCATCACTGTATCAGCTGCTGATACTTTCAAAACCCTAAACAATACCACCATATGCCAAACAACATAACTCATGGGGACAGAAGAAAAAAAGTGACCCAAGAACAAACATATAAAACAACAAAAAATGAGCAGAGAAGATATTACCTACTTTGTATTCTCCGGGATAATTGTTGCTAACGAAGGTCTAAACATCCGCTCTCGCAGTGTTTCGATAAAGGTGTTGGGAACTGCATAGAATTCAAGAAGTTATGAACATATAGGGGTATTTTTCAGAACTCAGCTGGGTTATAGATAATTCGTGAAAATAACAAGCAAACATGAAAAGAATTCAACTAGAATGAATTCTTTACCCACCTGATGAGGTTGTTCCCCAGCTCTTCTCAACGCCTTCAACAGCAGCAGCTATGGCCTTACCCTTCTCTGCTGCCCTCTCCATACGAGCAATCGCGTCATACAAACATTTTGCTATATCTAATAAAGCAATGACTTCTCCATTTTCTACAACAGGAAGATGTCTGAATTTTCCTGCAGGTTTAGTATTAGGACCACCTCATTATGCAAAAACACACATGGAAAAGAAAGATCACAATGATTTCACACTTTGTACACACCTAGCACCATCTTTTGAAGGGCTTCGACAGCCAGCGTTTCAGAAAGTACAAAAACAGGGTTCCTGGTCATAACTTTGGAAACAGGTGTTTCCTCAGGATTAACGTCATGTGCTATCACTCTTAACGCTATGTCCTGAACCCAGAAAGATAACACACCAAATCATGTTCTAAGTTACTACAGAAACAAAGGAGTCTTCATCTTTTCCGATCGGATTAAACACGTGTAACAGTAACAATAGGCACCAGCATTACCTTGTCTGTAAGAATCCCACAAAGCAATCCATTAGATTCAGTCAATAACAAGGCATCAACTCGACGAGAAGCCATCCGTTTACAAGCATCAAGGATGGTTGTGGTATCTGGAACTGTAAGGGCTTTCGATAGCCTCAACCGTTTGACAGTTCGCTCTCCCGTCAAAGTCCTGTTTCAACTCCAATCAACATTAGCAAAAAGGACACATTAACCAAATCTTGCAAAACCACATCATCTTGCTACACCGCAAATCAAGTACAAGAAAATGTGATGAACCTTTTTAGCATTCCACTGCAAAATTTCGGACATTTAACTACGGACTTTATACCTATGGGCAATTAAAAATGGATTTTTCCAGCACTTTAAGAACCGGATTGCTTGCTACCAAGGAAACCATAACCACGGAAAAACTAGAAGAAGTGGCCATGAAACAGACATTCTCAAACTAACAGATAAAGCTGAGACCTGAATCGTTCTCGAACATATCAACCAGTAACATTGGAAATTAGGGTTCCATGTTATGGAATGAGACCCAGAAAACGTACAAAGAAGGACGAGGAACAGTAAGAGATCTCCGGGAGATGTCGGAACCGCCTACGGTAATCTCAGAAGGTTTCTTCCTGTGCAACGACGAAGTCGACACAGATAGACTCCTCCTCGATGGCCCGCCTTGGTTAGCCATCTCGTATCGCAAAATTCTGGAGAAATAAACTCTCAAAAATCCTCCAAATCTGCAAGATCGAAAGCAATCGAGCTTAATTCAACAACTGGGAAAATACCAATTCGGATGCGAAAAAATTTCACAGAATCCCAGATAAAAACGGCACCTACAGCAACAAGTCCAATCAAACAAACGCTCAAAAACAGCAAATGGAATCACGAGAACTCACTTGGTACGATCTTACACGAAGGAAATCAAAGATTTTGACCGGCTTATTTCGACAGGAAATCTCCTTAACGAATATGGGGCTGAAACCAAGCGGGAACGAAACCAAGAATTTCAGGTTAGTTCAATGTCCACGTAAAAGAATAGAGAATCGTTGATCGGAGGAAGAAAGACGAGGGAAATTCCCAGGAAAACGAAGGAAAATCGAAGAGAAAATAAATCTTAATTTCAAATTTCCAATCCGAAGACTGGGGAATGACAGGCGGACAAAGATATAGAGATGTTCATTCTGTGCGAGTAATTTATCTTTTTATACCCCTTTGAGTGGCGCGTAGGAAAAAGGATTTGCTTCCCATTTTTGCCAAGGGTGTTAACGTAATTTCAATTGGGGCCATTGCAATTTACAATGGGTTATGTCAATTACGTGTTTTTGTACTTATTTTGGAAGATTTTTGGAAAAAAAAAATGATTATGCATTAGTCAACCTTAAGTTTTTAAAAAATTTATTAGAGTCAGATATTTATTGTTTTTGGTTGATTACCTTCAAATTAAAATCTACTAGTTTCAAAAAACTAAATCTATTCAAATTGAATGTAAGATTTGAATTCAATAAAAAAAGTATTTTATATAAGATATTTTCATTTACATTCAACTTTTTACTTATATATTTATCAAAAAAAAAAAAACTTTTTACTTATATACGTTTAATTTTTACTTATTTTCATATGATATGGTCTGCCTTTGATTTGAGATTTCTTTAGGTTAATTTAATGAAAATCATATCAAATGATTTGACTATTGACTCTAGATGAGCCTGTATGTGAAGTTCTTAACCTAAATTCTCGTTAAAAATGAGATTGGTAACAAATTTAATGTGAGATTCGAATCTAATAAAAAAATTTCTTTAGATATTTTCATTTACATTCAATATTTGACTTATTTTCATGCACATTCGATTTTTTTACTTATTTTCATTTAACCTGCCTTTTATTTTAGATTTCCTTAATCTAATATAAACTCTGGTTACAAATGAGATTGGTAACAAATCCTCCTTTATGAAATTAACCAATTGATCAAATTTCTATAATCTAATTTAAAATATTAACATTCTTGATTTTCTTTAATTTGTTAATTTAATTGGTAACAATAATGAGATTGGTACACATTCTTGTTTTTATTTGATATTAATTTAATATATAATTTTACAACTAATATTTATATTTCATGCGCACTACGCTGGGCCTTTACGGCCCATATTAGACGGGAAGGGTAAATTGGCCCAATACAAATTATTTTTCTTAATATAATTAAAAAGGAAAAATACGAAACGATAAAATAAAATAAAAAACGTGGCAGCACGTGACGTCGTCACCCTCCATTCTCTCTCTATCTCACCACGCACGAGATGCTTCGTTTCCACTTTCCACAGATATAAAAAAAACCCTCTCTCTCTCCATTTTTTTTTTCGATTTTGTCTGTCTGATATTTTCTCTCTCTAGCGTGGGGGAAAATGGCGGATTGGGGACCGGTGGTGATCGCTGTGGTTCTGTTCGTGCTTCTGTCGCCGGGGCTTCTCTTCCAGATTCCGGGGAGAGGCCGAGTCGTCGAATTCGGGAATATGCAGACTAGTGGCGCTTCGATTCTGGTCCACGCCATTATATACTTCGGCCTCATCACCATCTTCACCGTCGCCATTCAAGTCCACATCTATACCGGCTAAGTAGACAGATCTTACACTGATTGTTTGGATTTTCGCTTATGTTCGGAAACTTGTAATCTTCTGGTTTTCTGTTTTTAGCTTGGGTATGACCCACGGTTACTGTGGGATATGTTTGGATTTGTGAATACGGAATGTGCTGGGATGCGATTTTGAAATAAAAATCTATTTGGTTTCAGCTTCGATTATTGTATATAATCGAGTGTTACAGTAATTGTTCACTTATTCATCGCCGTAGATGTTCGCATTTTGGGTTTAGGGTTTTGTGATTTAGGGATTTGGGGTTTAATCGGGCGCATGGATCCGATTATAGTGAATGTGATCTAGTGAGTTGGAGTTTAGTTTTATTGATTCCATAGGGTTTGGGGGATTCGTTTGGGTTCCTGTTTAATTTGGATCTTGAATTTGTAAAAATGGATGCTGATTCTATTGGTACTTCACCGAATCAGTCCTATGAATCGATAACTGAGTCGTTCCTGTTATTCTCATTCTCCGTCTCCATTGATGTCAAGTGTGTGTGTAACGATTTAGGCGTACCGGAAAGTTGTATCGATCTGGTTCAGGGCACTGAATTTTTCACTTTTTGTTCGCCCAGTTCATGTTTCGTGGACTTTGTTTCGGTTTGGTTTTTTGTTTTTGTACCTTATCACCGAAGCGTGTTTAGACTTGTATCAGCAGTGCAAGTGACTAGAAATCTCGGGTTTGGATTGTTCCGGTCTGAATATAGATGTGAATTTACTCGAATGAACCGATAATCTAGGTGGTACTGGTGGGAAATGGAGCCTGTCGCCACATTACGAGAAAGAATAGTGTATAATCATGTTTAATCGGTATGTGTAGCTATGAACATTTCAATAGATGCAGTTTGATGGACGCCATGCCAACGAAACCATTCCAATACGAGCGAAGAACAATCTATGGGTAAGTGTGTGGGTCAGGTATCCGAGGTTTTTTGCTATATCGATCTTGATCTTTTTATTACTCGGCCTCGACCTTGTGAGGGTCGGTATGCACGTGATGCGGTGAGAGTGGGGGTACCTCCGCGTGGTATACGGGCGCATGAGAGTCGAGGTCGTGAAGGGTTGATGAGCAACGGGAAAATAAGTGAGGGGTCGAGGTCACAAGTATAGAGAAGATACCGAAATCAATCAGCGGACATTGACTGATTACGGGACGGATGCGAGACAAGCTGTGAGATCAAGGTGAGTCTTTGTCGCAACCCGAGTTGATAGCCCGAGTAATGTCTTCGTCGCCACCCCGAGTCGCCTCCTCTCATCGGAACTCGGAAGGCAATATCATCACGTGATCACAACCAAAACCTTATCATATCATTATCAACGCCAAGAAGTTTTTCGGTTCGTATTTCTCTTTCTTTCTTTTTGGAAAGTTGAAAAGATATATCAAATTACGATAAAAATTACGCCAGAAAACAGAGAAACAATGAAATTTCTCTAGTCTATAGTACCCTCGAGGGCCATATGACAAGCATTCTGTAGGCCCAAATAATGGGTTAGGCCCATATTAAAGCCCATATTTATTTCCTTCGTTTCAAGCTTCCGAAGGACCTCTCTCTGTCAGTCGCTAGGACGGTCCTCTCTCTGGAGAGCAGTCACTCTCCTCAGATCTTTGGAAGAAATACAAAATCCATATCAATGGCGACCTCGCTAGCTCAACTTTCTAGGAGAACCGTCGCGTCGGCCGTCTCTTCGAATCTAATCCGTCGCCACTTCGCGGCGGAGGTTTCTGCGGTGGCTACAACGGAGGCGCCGAAGCCGAAATGGCCGGTGAATCCATCTCCAGATCGGGTGAAATGGGACTATAGGGGCCAGAGACAGATCATACCACTAGGTCAGTGGCAGCCGAAAGTCGCGATTGACGCCTTCGTGGCTCCCAACGTCGTGTTGGCCGGTCAGGTCACAGTCTGGGACGGCGCGTCCGTCTGGAACGGCGCCGTTTTGAGAGGCGATCTCAATAAGATCAGCGTTGGATTCTGCTCCAATGTCCAGGAACGGTGTGTCGTCCATGCCGCTTGGTCGTCTCCTACAGGTTTTTGTTCTCTCCTTCTTTTTAGATATGTATTTTGAGGATTCTATTTCTTCTGTGTGATTCCATTTTGTTATTTTGGATGGCCTGCTTGATTTCTGGCTCTCGGGTAGTTGAATTTATTCCTGATAGAGAAATTGGAACGTTGAGTTTTTTTTTCCCTCGTGTTATATACAATAAAATAACATGATCGCAAATAAAATTTTGAAATATATGAAAACACAAAATATTGGTATAAATATTTACGGAAAAAAAAGGTAGACAGGCCCACAGACTGACTCTGACACCCATTGGGCCCACTTTGCATTCGGGTCCATCTGCTATTAGGTCGACACATTAATTACCAAATTAGGACCTTTCGTTGACCCAAAAACATATATGAAAAGACGGAAATACCCCTGTGGAAGTAGGGACGTGGATTCATGGATTCGGTCATCCGTCCATTTCGTCCGACCCTTCGCCCTTTACAAAGCTCGCTACAAAACAACACGTGAGAGTCACGTGACTTCCAACGATTTTAACGGACCCAACGCGCGAAACTCCCAAGAAAGCCTTTGAGGAGTCTCTCAGTCGTCTAGAGTCTTCGACCTCAAGCAAAGCGGCGTCCCGGACGATTTTTTTTTTGGGTTAAACCTATCCTACAACCCTTCGGATTGGACATTGGACATCGCACCGCCTCTCAGCCCATGGACCGGATGAGAACAACATCAGAACAACATCGCAGACCTGAAAAAACCCACCGTCCTAGACTGTAGCCGACCACTGCCCTACGCAGTAGCCGACAAACTACACAGAATAGATAAATCAGTCTCGTAAAGGTGACTGGTTCAAGGAGAGTTTCCAACATGGGTTTCGAACCCACAACCTCTTGTCTGGAACGAATTTTCAAGCAACTTTAATCTGAATGAATTAGAAAGACTTGCATTCTTTACGTATTTTTCTAACAAGTTACGCAGCCGTAATTGTTCGATCACGTTAAAAGAATTCTAATATTGCGAAAATACTTTTAAATATATATAAATGCTCTTTAAACGAATGGCGGTGGTACTCCTGAAACCCACTATAGAACCAACGGACGAATAAATATATAGATTAAATGGAGAAAAAATGTAACGCATTATTGTAATCGATGCATATAAGTCACGAAAATTCTGGATAAATCACGTATATACGGATCTTATATGTATAGGAGATATGGATATATTATAATCTTTCTCACATTAGGAATACTTCCTAATTTCTAGATATTATTGTTATTAGTATCTTCATGTACATTATTATATATAAGCACCATGTATTAAAACCCTAATCAATAAGAATCTCAATTATCCTACATGGTATCAGAGAAAACATGTCTAACGACTTGAAAACCTAGCCGCCGCCGCCGCTGCCGCATCTGAGCTCCTTACCATCGAGCATCTGTAGCTGTTCCTCCTCTCTCTCAGCATCGATGGCCACCACCGAAAGCTCTGCATCTGAAACTACAGCTACATTCAATCCGCAAGAGCCCAGCAAATCCCTTCTTTCAATCAACATGTCCAACGTTACCAAATTGATATCTTCCAATTACGTTACCTGGAGCATTCAAGTCCAAGCCCTTCTTGAGGGCCACAATCTCGTTGGTTTCATCCTAGATAATGAGGCTATTCCTCCGGCCAAGCTGGACAACGCCGGTACCTTGGTGGACAATCCAGCGTTTGTTGTGTTCAAACAGCAAGATCGACTCTTGTTCAGTGCTCTTCTTGGCACTATCTCGCTGAATCTTCAGCCTGTCATTGCCCATTCCTCTTCGACTCGCGAAGCATGGAAAACCCTTGCCAATATTTATGGCAAAGCGTCACGTGGTCATCTTTTGCAACTTCGCGATCAAATCAAACGTGCTGTGAAAGGTACGCAATCTGTTGACGAGTACATGTGGTTCCTCACGAGCAAGGCCGATGAGCTCGCTATCCTTGGTAAGCCCTTGGATCACGAGGATCTCCTTGATGCTATCTTGACTGGTTTGTCGGAGGACTACAAACCCATTATTGATATGGTCCAAGCCAAGGATGATGCGATCTCGACCGAGGAGCTTCATGAAAAGCTTCTCAACCATGAGGCGAAACTTGCTGCAGCCAACACGTCGTCCTTGTCCTCTCTGCCAGTCACTGCTCATTATGCTGGTCCTCGCCCACATTCATCCTCTCGTGGTCGTGGTTCCTTTCGGGGTCGACAGTCGGCTCCTCACTCCAAAGGCTATCAAGGGAAGTGTCAAGCTTGTGGAGTGTTCGGTCATAGCGCCCAACGATGCAATCAATTCCGGCTACTCTCTGTCTCCGATAATCCTGGCGGTTTGCAGCAGTCGGCTCCTCGGTGGACCTCTTCTTCGCGTCCATGGCAGCCGAGAGCTCATCACACGATGATGCCTTCCTATGACACGTCGCATTGGCTTGTTGACAGCGGAGCATCACATCATATTACGTCTGATTTGGACAATCTCGCCTTGCATAATCCTTATCATGGTCGTGATGACATTGTTCTTGGTGATGGATCGGGCATTCCTATAACTCACACGGGTTCTTTTTCACTTGCCCTTCCTACTCGAGCTTTATCTATTGATAACGTGCTTTGTGCTCCGACCATGAAAAAGAAGCTTATCTCCGTCTCCCAATTGTGCAAGTCTAACGGAGTTTCGGTTGAATTTTTCCCCTCTTCTTTTCAGGTGAAGGATCTAAGCACGAGGGCGTCGATTCTAAGCGGAAAAGCTAAGGATGGACTCTACGAATGGCCGGATCCCTCTTCTACTTTCCCATCTCCTATTGTTTTATCGAGTCATAAGTCCACTTTGTCCGAGTGGCATTCGCGTTTAGGTCATCCTACATCTTCTATTCTTCAGCGTGTTTTGTCTACGTTTAAGTTGCCATTATCTCGGGATTCCTCTTTCTTGTTTTCTGATTCTTGTTCTCGTAATAAAAGTCACAAGCTACCATTTTTTTGTTCGTCTATCTCTTCTAATCGTCCTCTTGAATTACTCTTTTCCGATGTTTGGAGTTCTCCAATTATCTCTATTGATGGCTTCAAATATTATGTCGTGTTTGTTGATCATTTTACTCGATACTTGTGGCTTTATCCTCTTAAACATAAATCTGATGTTCGTGATA